GTGTGATGCAGATATTTTCCAGGGGCTCCAGCAAAGCTTTGTTTTATATCTGAAATAGTATTGGGGCAGGGGGAGACAATGTGAGTAGGCTCCAGGGGTTCAGGTTAGTAATTTTATGTGTAAGAAAAACATAATACACATCAAGTTAGGCAAGTATGGGTTTTCTTAGGATCAAAATCTGTTCTGTTATCAGGGAAATGGGGACCCTGCTGGCATCCTGCTGTTAGAGACTAGCTGTGCCCCTGACTGAACATGTCTATCTAGACACCAGCTGGCTGAGCTGCCAAAGCCTGCTGACATGCACATGTAGATCAAGTATTATCTGGCTCCACCTTCTAGTTCTCACTTCAGTGTGCTCAAATCATTGAAACTTTACTACTTGATTTGGAAACTTCTGGTTTGGGAACAAACTTCTAATTAGGTTGACCTCCACAGAACAGAAGCCATTTAGGATAAGTGGACGTGTTGTTTTTTTTCCCATCAAATGACTCTTGGATAAGAGATGTTTATTATTTTTTTTCTCTGGTCTGTATTGTCTTCATACTTCTTGCAGACTGTACTAGCCTGCTTTTCCCTGTGACTTCTGGGGAGGGGAGAGTCATCTGGCACATGTTCCTAGAATTTCATTGTGGAATACAGAAATACATTGTGGCTCAAAATAAACCCTCCGATGGCTCTTGACAGTGGAAGAAAGCTTTCCAGACCCACTGTGGTCTTCATTACAGCAAAGAAAGCAGTTGTTAGTGGCAGGAGAAATTCATTCAGGAGATTGCTATTTCTGCAATTTCAGGGTTGTGCAGCTGTGTAGGGGGACTTGCACATGTACAGGCCAGGGGCCCCATCTGTTTCTAATAAAACACGGGGGGGGGCGGGGGAATGCTAAAGTGGCAGTTGTGTAGTGTAGATTGGGAGGTGAGTCCCAGCAGTTGTCTGCTGCCAGTTTCCCTTCCCTCCCTTTCTGTATCTTCATAATGAGAAGTGAGAGTCTAAGGAGGCATGATACTGCACTTTTTCTCCTCCCTTTCTTTCTTCTACTTAGAGTATGGATTGTTATTCATACCCTGAATGCCATCTGAAAAATTACCTGTAGGAAAGCACATTCGTAGCTGCAGTCCTGGAAAACCAAGCAGCAATGGATTTCATTAAGCCTTTGCAGCGTAGGGTGCAGTAACCTCCAGCACAGGCTCAATCCTGTTCCTACAGATGAAATTTATAGATTGTCTGCTACTGAACTTCTTGAAATGCCTGGTAGTAAAATATTCCCAAGCAGATCAGGTGGGAGTTTTAATGGAGCATTTTTCACCTCTGCAGAAATTCAAAACTCAAGCGGTACAATGTAAGGCACAAGACAATGAAATTTTTTTCAGGAATAATTTGAAACTGTTATTTTCTTTGCTTTCAGACTTACTTTTGTTTTTTTTTTAACTTGTTTTCTAACACGAAATCTGTGATGTAACTGTGATAGCTGTAGTGGGACCAGTCACAGATTGGATGAGAGGCACTTGAGCCAGAAAGTTTGTGAACCCTGATATCTTGCCTTCACATTTTTAAGGCATTATGATAGAATTGGATACCTCAAACCTGTTGCTCTCAGTGGGAGCATTCCTACTTTTCCATTATACTGAATTACCTTTGATGGCAGTTCTTCTTTCCACATGAAGGCATCTTGAAACAGTGTAGAATGGGAAAGTTAAGTCCTCCTTTGCCCTTCCATGGCTATTAACCTTCTGTTGTCTCACTGAGTCAGACCCCTATCTGAATTATAGTGGAAAGTATGCTTGTCCTTGACTGGAGTGATAATGCCTTGATGTGTGCTTGTAATGGATGGTATGTGTTTATACTTGGACTCCCAGGAGATGGATGCTTTCAAGCCTGTTAGCATCCTGAGCTTTGATTTTTGCTCAGAAATGCATGCTGTGCAAGGATTAGGATCTTAGTACATGATGTGTTATGTGAACATACAATAGAAATAACAGGTGATGCTTTTGGAGAACTTAATTTCTGTTGGAGCAAAAGAGGGCAGGGTTGGAATGGATTGAGAAGAAGTGAAAAGAGAATAAAGAATGGAATAGGTGAAAACAGCCTGGAAGTTGAAGAGACTCTTAATGTTTCCTCATTCTGGAATGCAGAAGGGCATTCTAGCCATCTACCTTTCCCCAAATGGCAGGCAGCCCAAAGGAAGTATTGGTGATCTTGTCTTACTACCATTTTGGAAAACAAGTAAGGCTCCTGCTCGTTTCATCACCAGTGACCTTGTGATCTAGAATCCAAGGTTTCATTAGGTAAATGAAGCATGACAGGCAGAACCTTAACTACTGAAACAGGTCACTTTGGGAGCAGAGAGCACTTCCTGAAGTGTTCCAGTGTCCTTTCAGTAGAAGTGGTCCAGGCCTTGTGCCAGATAGAAATTTACAGGTGTAATTGGATGAAACCATGATGCACAGAGGTGAAAGCAGCTGCTGCTGGTTGCAAGGCAGTGACATTGAATGAAACCCAAGAGTCCACCCAAGCAGTAACTGCATATGCTTTAAATACTGTAGAGCTTTACACCTTGCAGATATTTAAGGAAAGGTTTTATCGTCTTTATTTACAGCCTGATCCTAGTTTGTGAGGGCTTGCAAGTGTGATGGTATAATGGTGAATGAGATCCCTGGGTAATATACAGACAGCGAGTCAGTCCAACTGTCATGTATGTGTGTTATGAATGACTGACTTGTAAGCACAAGGAAATTACTTTTATGTTTATTGAAATAAGGGCAACTGTTTTTTTGTCATGCAGTATCCGAGTGGCATAATCTGTGAGCAGGTGGCTTCTGTTTGTGAAATGAAATGGAAGCAAGGCTAGTATTGTCAGTGTGATTTATGACATATTACTTAGATGTCTCAGTGTCTGAAGGAATTGGGGAAAGTGCTTGAGAAACAGCTGGCTGAGGCACCATCCACATAAAAAAGAGCAGTGCTGGAAAGCAGTATCAGCTCTTTGTGAATTCGCTTTGAATTTGTTGGGGTGTCATCATCTTATAAATACACAGGTAATCCCAGGTTGCATTTTAGGAGCCAAACTACTATAGCTTAGTATATTAGATCCAGACTAGCCACAATTAATGATGTTGTGGCTGAGCCAAGCTATTCCTGACAGGTTTTGCTTTATTCCTCCTTAGATCCTTCAAAAGAGGAAATAAGCATAGTGGTCTTTTCTGATGGTTTAGGAAGAAAAAGCTCTTATCTGTATACAATCTTTGTAGGTGTAATCCAGGATATTGGTATGAATCCTAGTTTTCATGGGAAGAGACAATTATTTCATGTGTTTGGTAGTCAAGGGATAAGGGGAAGATATCTGAATACACATTTTCCTTCCCCGTGGGAATTTTTTCTTGAGATGCATTATTGGCACTGATGTTTCTGTAATAGTTTCTGACAAGTTTCTGGAAACCTGTTCTTTTATAACTGGCATAAAATAAAACTACTTTGCAGGAAATGCAGAATGGCAAATTGTGGTGCTAAGCTGGGGAAGTTGAATCTGATGTATTGATTCCGAACAGTGTACATTTTCTATGCTTTTGATGTGAATGTTACTATGGCTGTTTTTCTTTCAGTGGAGTTTGTGGAGCTTGCAACATCCTCTCAATTGTAACAAAACATGAATTGGGATGCTAGGGACTCATTTTACAACAGAAAGGTCCAGACACATCTAATTAGTGTTACTTGCAAGCACCAAGGAGGGCATCACACAGCTCAACAGTTAGACATGAGGGATGAGGAATATTTGTTACAGCTTACAAGCTCTGTGGAAGGAACCCGTCATCTCCAGCACATGTTACTGGGGTGGCTTGCGGTTGATTCATGGTTTTGTTACTGTCTCATTAACAGAATGACTTACCATGAGGAATGTTCAGTTCTCTGCATTTGTTCCACTAAAGAACTTCTGGCGCATTGCTCATCCCGTCAGCATTTTCTTCTACAACCTATATCTGCGCTTTCTGCTTTCCAGTTCATTTCTGGCCTTACCTTGATTCACAGTTTTTCGCAGCCTTACTATTCTTTCAGTTCTCACAGTGTTATTAAGGTGCCCGTGCCCCTCGCAGCAGTCCCCGCGGCAGACTCTGCTCTGCCGTGGGTTACATACTCCCTCTCGTGGCTTGTTCAGGATGGTGCCGAGTAAGACTGTTCCTAGCCAAGTTCCCTTAGGGAAAAGCTGGGTTGGGGTATTTAATGGAATAGTGATCAGGAATTTGTTTGTCATATCCAGGTTTGTTGATTGTTGGGTTTGGGTTTTGTCTGTTGGTTGGCTTTTTGTGTGTTGGCTTTTTCCCCTGGTCATGACTTTTGTGGAAGCTGAAATTGAATGAATGGCATCTGCCTCTCAACTCCATCCATGAGACAGATTCTTTCTCTCGTTGTACATCACTGGAAACGTCTGTGGAGGTGTGTAGGTCATATGATGTAGTTTCTGGGTGGGAACTAGAAATTGTTTGGGCTGTAAAACCTGGCCTTATTGCACAGAGGGCTCAGTTAGCTGCCTGAACATGCTAACTACTGCTGTTGTGGCTTTCATGGCAGCTTGGTAATGGGAGTTATTGATCACCTCTGACAACTTTATTGTATCCATTTAGTTTTTATGTAGTACATCATCCCCAAAGCTTTGTGAGAGACTGTTATACCCTTCATCCCCATAGTCTCTGGAAGGCTTTTTTGGTACCTTCCTGCTCAGCTGGTTGTCAGCCTGAAATGAGTTCAAGAATTGTATGGGTAGAGACTGACCTGTGTTAATTTTTGACTCATATGGCTGTTGATTATTTGGATAGCTGTGGATCTGTGTAAACTTAGAAAGCGTAGTACTGAGACTTTGGATGTAAAAACAAATACTGGGTCTTGATGATGGAGATAAAAGGCAGGATATTGAATCTGGGAGATGCAGAAACTTGCACATCTCACTGTTCCCTGGGGACTTTCCATAGTAAAGAGCAATTAATGATGGTAACAATGATTCTGAAAGGGGGTTCAGTGATACATTATCTTTTGCTATTTTTAATCATGGCAATACAATGATACTTAGGTTTATTCTTTCAGCAAGCCTCTACATTGATTAATTTGTGTGTCTGATTTCTTTCATATTGAGAACATCTTCTATTTTCTTGTATTCTCAGAGGACATTAGTCTCATTCCTTCTGCATTTTCAGTTCTGCTGAAAATGTGGTGTTTTTCTTAAGCCATTATTTTATGTCCTGGAAAACAGAAGGAGGTGTGGAAAGAAGGATATTCAGCAGGAATCCTCAGGTGGCCTGGAGGTCTTTGCCTTCACAGATCACTGCAGGCAGCTTGGGTAGCTCAGTCCAGCCGTGCATTCTTCTTCAGCCCTCCCCTCCCTGCTTTCTTTCAGTGTGTAGTTCCTATGCTACAGTTGCAATGCAGCCATTGCAAATAATAGCAAAATGTGGTAAACCTAACTACATTAGCTTTGATAGCTGCTGTGTGCAAGGTGTGTATGATGCAGAGATAACAGAGAAAGACTGTCCCCAGTTACATTGTAAAGCAAACTAAGAAAAGGACAATATAGTCACCATTTTACAGCCAGAGAATTGAAACAGATTGAAAGCAAAATGGTAAAGTCTGCACTGTATTAACACCCAATTGATTTTAGCAAGATGTGGTGAAGACTTCATTTAGTGAGTGGTTCAGAGGGGCACATGCAGAGATGGGAAAGCATTCGAATAGACCCAGAGATTTGGTGTTCTCCCCAGTATGCTGATAGTGGAGCTGTCATAGGACTGCAAGGTAATTTGTCACTGTACACCTACGTAACTGCTGTGTTGGATGGTTGACTAATAGTTCTCCATTCAGTGCTAGTCAGAAATACCTTTCTTTTGTCTCCTTCATCTCTGGTTACAAAATACAAGGTGAATATTTAACTTAGGCTGTTGCCTACAGAACTCTATTATCTTAAAGGCTGATGGCATCTGTCTGGTCACCTGCCCTGCCAAAAGGCATAAGCACATCATAAATACGACTGCTGCTTATGCTGAGTTTTGAAGGAACAGAATAGGTTGGGAGAATTTGCTTTGTAAGACCCAAACAGGCGTTGACCTTGGTACGATAAGTAATATTAAATATCACATGAAAACAAATGAATTCTTCACTTGGGATTCATTTAGTTGATATTTTCTTTCTTGAGCTGGCTGAGCAGACATGACATAGGTTCTGGTAAAAATCCTTCTAGCTAAATATCAGTGGGTTCAAAGTATCATTTGTATCTGCCCTACAGAAAATCTCCCATAAAGCACTGTTTTAACACATTAGTGCTAAACAGTATTTTATTCGTGTCAGCATTGAAGTTTTACAGTCTAACAGGATCTTGCTTGTGTTCTGTATTCCAGGACTGCCTGCATTTATATCCCTTCTAAGTTTAATAATAAATGGCATAGTACTAACAGAGAGGAGTAGGGAAGGACAGTTGAAGTAGGAAACTGCTGTATATAGAGAACCATTTTAATTTACTGTTCTGGCTTTAAGGCTTGTGTAGATCCTCAGGTTTCACTAAAGAATAGATTTGATTTGATTTGATTTTTAAGTAGAAAAGTATAGATATGTGTTCAACAGTCATCTCTAGATTTTGGAACTTGTAGACCTCTTAGCAGAAGTTATGCCAGGGAGTGCTTGATAGAATTAAGGAAATTAATATATACAAGGGAGCTTTAGAAGACAGATAAATTTTCAGGCTTCAGGGTATGCTCTAGCCCAGCCATTAGTAAATAGGGTCAGGTGGACATACGTTATCCAAAGGATTAACCTTGTCTACTTCTATTTCAGAAGCTGGTACTGGCTATCAGTTGAGACCAGCTTTTGCACCTGACTCATCCATATTGTGGCAGAGCACAAGGGCCACAATTACAGCCCAGGGCACTGTTGTGCTAAGTGCTCTTCAACTTGCACACAAAAGAGTAGTCCCTACCCTAAACAGCTTAGCTGCAGTTCTGGTCTGTATGATCCCTTGTGATAGTTCCTACTTATGGAACACATCTCAGTAAAAATACCTGAGTTTTGAAAGTGCAGAGCAGGCATCCAACATCTCTTGGCCCTACATGTTCAGTGCTGAATATCAGGTCACTTTGTAAATCTAAATAAGGGCTCACGGTGTGAAATTTTTCATGGAGCCTGAAAGAGAAAAGCTTGTTTAAGAGAAATCCTGCCTGTGACCCATAGTTTAAGCCCCAATACTCTGAAAATCATGATTACCATGGTGGTACAGTAGCTCCTTATGTTTAATTATATTACCGCTAATTTCAAGCCTTTGCCTGCAGACTGGGCAGCAATTGTAGCTAAGAGCCAACTGAACTTTCACCAGTTACCAGGAGGTATCAGATAACTGTTCTTGCTTTTCCTGTGTGTGAGACATAGCTTTTTAAAAAAGTGAATGTTACATCTCATAAAAAAGCTTGAGGCTGGCTTCTCACTGTCTTGAATCAGCCACTAAATGCAGCTATAAGCCAGCTTCATTAGGGACACCACAGGCCTCTTGCATTATTGCAGTAATTAAGGCACTTGCAGGCTCACTTCTCCTGCTGATTTTATTACACTGAGGAGATAAAGTTTGGGCAAGGCAGAGACTTTCCTTGGTCAAAATCAATGAAGAAGGAAAGGAAGCAACTGACATTACTATGGAAACAAATGGTGCATCCTAGAGAAGAGTTGGAGTGGTGCGGGGAGTAACAGCAGCCTGCTTCGGAGAAAATAGGCAGAGAAGCGTACTGGTATTGTGCGGGGGTGTTCTGCAGAACACAGAGAGGGACTTCATTGCTTGTGACAGGCAGTGAACTTCACAAGCCAAATTGTTCAGATATTACCCTCCTGTGAAGAGAGGTTCTGGAGGAGGCAGAGTGAGATAGAACAAAAAACGTCAGTGCAGCCGAGTGCAAAGGAAGAAAAAGTAGAAGTGATGGATTAACATGTTTGGCTCAAACAGACTGATCTGCTTTCCTAGGATCATAGATTTTTGCTGACATTTTGATCATTAACTTTGGCTTTTCGTTCAGTCTTTCTTCTTCCAAGGAGAAGTTTTAAATGCAAATTACTCATGTCCCAGATTTGTGTGGTTTAGGATAGAAACCTTAAATCATGTGCTTATTGTGGAAGTGATTTTTTTTCCTGATGTTATAGTTAATTTCAAGAGATTAATTTAGTCCTATTTGTAAGCTGTTGAGTAAGATTCACGCTAGAGATGGTGTCATCTACTGACAGATACCCATTTTCTCAGACCAACTTCGATGTGTCTCTGGTTCTACTATTTGATAATTGCTGACTGTTCCCTGCTACTGGCATCTGTAGAAGATTAGATGGTGTGTATCTGAGTTTGACAGTTTAAAAACCAAAAAACCCAACAACACACACACAAAAAGGAAGTATAAGTAAGAGATTTTATTTTTGCCCATTGCTAATGGAATATGACCAAGTCTGAGATGGATTACAGAAGAAGATGGAACACAGGTTGAAGAGCTCTGCTTTATCCCACTTGATTTGGTACTTACAACACAGAGAAGGCATTAAAAATTGAAGAGGCTGTTTGGCCCAGCAATGAATAGACATAGAAAGAACACCTGATCTTTCTTTCATTCCCAAAGCTGATGTTATTGCAAGGATTGCCTTGCTTGTAATGACCAAGAGAGGTTCAGTCCTGAGCTCTGCTAGTTCTCTTAATTTTTGAAGCACACGTATTCAGCTAAAATGTTCATTGCCTGACTTGCATAACTTGCAAGTTGCAGAGGTTGAGAAGAGAAATACAGTAAGACAGGGGTTAAGGATACCTAAAAAGAGCAGTATCAGCATTCACTCCAGTTAACTAGCTGATGAGGCTAACTATAACCCCCTTACAACAGTAAAAATAAATTGGAAGCTATATGGTTTTTTAAAGCCGAGGTAACAGTGGAAAAGATCAGGCTACCCAGAGCTGTGCCCTGTCATTAAACATGGATTAAGTTGCTTATATTTGCCATGGTGAATTCTTACTAGGTTTCCAGGAGACTTCCCAGAGGACAATAGATGAAGCATTTGCTTGTCTTCTGGCAATGTGGTTACTGTTTATCCTGTCAGTCACAGCTGATGCTGTAAGGCATTTAGATACACTAGGGAGGCAGGAGCAGGTTTGATTGGTTTTACATTCTTTTTGTTTCTCCCCTGGGAGCACCCCTTTTTGAGCTTCTTAGCTGTAAAAGATGTCTAAATCTGAGCTTGTGTAAACTATTCCTCTGATACGTGTTTTAGTGAGCAAGGAGGGCCACTAATTTATTGCCTGTAACTTGACCTTAGTTGGACAACTAGGTAGTTAAGACAGTAGTGCAGCAAAGAGGGAGTAAACAAGCTCATTTCACTCTTCCCTGAAGGCATTTTCTTTCCTGTGCTTTCTGAGCAAATAGGCCAGTGTATTAGCATGTTATTCTTTCTAATCTTTTGGCTTCTGTTTTCATTATATTAATGCTTTAGGGTTTATTCAAGGGAAAGATGCCTTAATGATGCTAATGGTTCTAATGATTTTCTGAAATTCTGGAGGTTCCATCAGTGTGGTAGTTGCAAAAGACTGTTAACATACTAATTTAAATGTTCTCAGTCGACCCACAAATTATAGTGGTATTTCCAGAGGCAGCAGGATCAATTCACCAAATACCCAGAAATATGTAATAGTCTGCCCTGTGACAGTACTTTGTCCTTGGGGTAAAGTGTCTTGACCAGCCTTGTTTATAATCACAAAGGATTAATAGTGTGAGGATTTCCAGGTGTGGTTCTGCTGTCATTAGTAGTAGTACTCCAGCTTCCACCTGTGTGGCGGTAAGATGTTATAACCAAAGGAGCGGGGGGGAAAAAACCCCAAATGCAGAATGCATGGATTTCCTTGCTTTCAAGCAGTTGTGCTGTGCCTCCAGTCTCTTCAGTTTAGCACTCCCATTACTTCTGTTGTTTGCTTGGGTCTTTTCTCTCCAGAGAGGAAGGTGTATTGAAGAAACTGAACTGGAATTGTGCAAGGAGACCACATGCCATGAGGTTTGGAGTAGCTCTTGAAACTGTTTTACACTTCGATTTTTGCGACCAGCTTACTTTACTCTTTCAAACCTGCCTGCTTTACTATAGTTGCTTCTGGTTTTCTGCAGTTGTGTCATTTATAAATGCCAAAAGCCCATTATCCAAGCTGAAAAACAGGGAGGAGAATAGATGAAGTAGCCGCTAGAAAGGTCCAGTGGTGGTTCCAGGCTGCCTCTGCAGTATAATGCTATAGCATTGTGCTTTTTCTGTTGTAAAATACACATTTGTAAATTCCTCCTTTGTACAAGTCATCTGACGTTAATGTACTATTTTCTTATGAATACTAATGTATTTTCTTATTCTTTTGCTTTCCTATGCCTTCTACTCTTCCAATATAGCTTTATGTAGTGAAGTAACCTTCCTGTTACTTCAGTAAAACACAAGCCATTAAGTTTCTTTTTCATCTAATATACTGAGGAACAATGGGTCAGTTTAAATTTGCAATTTTAGGTTATAAGGCAGTGTTGATAATTCATATTTACTACAGTGTCAGCTATAAATCAGTGGTACTTATTCTTGCTTTTTATCTGCGTGTAACTGTGGGACCCTGCTAGCTAATAGCATATTTCTGCTTGTTGTATCATTTATAAATGATAAAGAATCGCCTTTTGGAAACTCTGTTCTGTGATGTTATCTGGCCAAAGTCTGCTCATTAGCAGCTGCAGTCTAACTTGGTTACTTCACTTGACAGATCCTGAGTTGACTGGGGGTTGAATGAGATTTCCAGTGGGAATGTTACAGGCCAGTCCCTCTGGCAAGAGATACACTGAGGCTTAGCATCCTTTACAGGCTTCTTTGGATACCCTTAGCTTTGGTATTCGGCAAGTAAAAGGCTCCCTAGGCACTCTACCACGTGAAGTTTCCACAGTTAATGTTACACTGGTTTAGTTGGCTTCCTTCATGATGTAGGTCCAAACTGCTTTTATGCCAAGATTCTGCCGGGCTGAATTTTCAAGTTACGGATCCTGGAGACTAAATGTTTATAAAGTAGATGCTGAAACAGAAAATCCCATACAGCAAGAACGCTTTTAAGCATGTGGAAAATGCTTTGGATTAAAAACGTGCATCTGTGGACTTATTGATTGTAAGCCAAATCAAGTCCTGGTCTAATATTGCTGACTTTACTCATGTTACACTTGCATTCTACTTGGCCCTCTGGCAGTGCACAAGGCTTGACTGGATATCTTTTTATTGGAAGAGTATGCAATCTTTCATACTCTCCTCCTATTTTCTTGGGGCTGGCTTTGATTATATTGTGTGTAACCAGCCTCTAAGTGGGGCCTGATAAGGCTTTAAGAGAGGGGTAAGTAAAGAGGTTTGAAGAGAAGACATGTATTCTCTATTTTTAACAAGACAACAGGCAACTAGTCTGCTTTTTTTAATGTAGTGTGTGCAAAATCAGTGACTCCTGAGTGCACTCTGGCCACTGAGAGAGCTGAGCCTATTGAGTCATGCTGTATTTGAATATAAAGTGCTGGGTCACTGCTGTCTCAGTGAATTGGTTAGGAGTTTGGATGAAGTGAGGTTACTTAAAAATTGAGGTGAATAGCAACTAAAACCAAGAATTTTTTATCTTCATCTTAGACAGACCCTGATAGTTAGCTTGATGCTTTATTACCATTAAGAGCAAAGCACTCATCTCAACATGATGGGGAAAATAGTGACAAAGCCTGTTATGCAAACCCTTCATTTAAAACTACAGCTGCAGTCAACATTGAAAGTAGTGGTACAGGCAGTAATTCAGCATTTCAGTACCTTAGAAAGCTTTTAAGGAAACACTCCAGCTTACAGTAATTAGTGCTCTAAAGGAAGTTGTAGTAAGGAAATTAAGAAAAAGCCTCAATCTGAGGTGCTGCTTACATAAAAAAAAGCTACTTTACAACAAATGAAACACTTGAACCATCTATTTATATTGTCAGCAGGGCAGAGCTGGGCAGTTTGCATTGTTCTTTTCTGTCTGGCAAGCTGCAAAGCAAGTGACATGGAAGCCAGGGAGAATGTGCAGGAAAGAGCAGGTAAATTATATCTTTCTAGTGTGTTCAGCAGCTAAAAGAAAAAAAAGACCAGCTCACAAGTCTCCTTAGCTTCTTCTGCCAGTTCTGACTTGGGCGTTAAGGCAGTGTTGTGCTGGAAGGTGCTGCTGAGAGAAGCTCTGTATTCCAGATGCAAAGAAGATTATGAAAACATGTCAACAGAGAGGCCAGATGTTCAGGTCAGTCAGCACAAGCTGTGCAGATTCCTGAATGCGATATGAAGAATACAGCCACATTAATCAAGGCTCCTTCAAAACTACCATGCCTCAATGAGAGGGCTTCTTGAAAGGGTCAGGTGGA